AGCATACCTCCGTAAAAAATCCTTTTAGCTTATTATGCACTTTGTTTTTCCTAGGTAAGAGTAGCATAAAGTGTGATATATAAAAATAGAAGAACCAGTCTATTAAAAAGTATTGCCACATTCCGATTTTTAATTACCTGGTTAAAAATGCTAGGAATTAGAACCAAACTTTGACCTATTTGATAAATAAAAATCTCTTTATAGTATTTTCAATGTTTAATGCCATATTTTGTTTGGGATTGTGGTGTACCACTTCTTGGTGAAAATGTAATGTGAAATTTAGCATTAATGTGCAGTAGAATTTTTGGGGGTCTATTGTCTTAACCCTGTTGTATGTATACCATTGACTTTTTTCTGATATTGAACATCCTTATGGAAGCTCATGTCAAATAATACAGCAAGAACTGAATACTAACTCTACATTTTAAATTTTTTTTCAGAGGAACAGGCATAACAAATGTTGGTGTCTGTCAGATACTAGAATGCATCAGCGTTTCTGAAGGAAGTTATCTTTTTCTGTAGTCATGTCAAAATGCAAATATCAAATCAGTTCAATGAGCTTGTGTCTTAGTAAACTGTCTAAAAAGAAAATCCTGCATTCTTAAATAAATTTACCTTGTTTCCTTTTCTATCAAGTCCTTTTTAAGTGAGGTTTCCCTCATTTGCATTCAGATCCACATATTCAACCCCTTTGTGGAGTTCAGTACTTCTGGTTAATAGTCTCTATGTGCAGATGTGGATCTAGACTTTACTGAGGGTACATCTGGGAATAAGCACCCCCTTTTTATTTCAGAAATACATCCTGTTGTTGAACAACTCCATCATAGTGTAAGATTTTTCTTTCAGTTGAGGAGGAGGGAAAAGGGCACCTCCTGTTAAAATCCCCACTGCCTTAATTTTTGCTTAGAACGAAGGTAACTGCCGAGTGCGACTCATCTGTTGGTAGATACAAGAAAACCTTGCAGTAAGACTGAACTTCTCTTTGGAATAAGGTATAGCCATGTTCTATGGTATTTACTAACATATTGTAATTATAATGGTTTCAGAACTTGTTTGCAGCAGTTGTTCATAATACAGTTGGAAAAGGATCTGGAGAGTTGCAAAATAAAATGGGAGGGGTGCCCTTTTGAACAGTGACCCCAGTGGGATATAAACTTCCACTTCCTCCTTTGTAAAAGTCAAGACAAGTAAGCGTTGGACTGTGAACAGTCCTGATGGTTCTATATGTCAGGAATGATAACTGTTTCTGTATTAAAGGTTTTCTTGAACTCTTTTACAGACAAATCTTACATAAGTTCATTTATATTATTACAAACAAGGAATTTTCAAAGAATCCTTACTTCCCTTCTTTTACACAAAACTCAAACTGCAGTGGCAACTTCACAATATGATTAGTTTCTGAACTTTAACCTTTGCAATAAGTATATGTAACATGCCCTTCAGTCCTGCCACTGGAGTGCACATCTGCTTTTGAGTTATTTACAGACATGCAGCTGTTATCCTTAACTTCAAGTGTGTTATTGTTTGTGCTGATTCTCTGCAAGTTGCAGGGAAAATCTTCACTTACTCAAACAGTCTCTTTTGTAAGTTTAGCCTGGTACCGGTATTAAAGCTTTTAACTTAGTTGCAAGAAAATTTAGATCACTTTCTAAGTGTTAAAAATTGACTACTGAAATGGAATAGTTGTCTAAAAAGAATAACAGACTGTTGCTGTAGAATTTCCAGTCAAAGATTCAGTGTTAGCAGACTTCTAATAGTTCTTTGTAAATGAATTCCCTCATTAAAGTTATTAATTTCAGAAGAGCTTAATCTCATGTAATTAATGCATTTTGATTGCACTGGAATAACAGAACTGACTCTTTTAATCAGCTATACAGTATGTGTATCTGCAGAAGTAACTAGCTGAAATTATAGAAAGTAGTGAAGAGCCCTTTTAGTATCACATGTTCCTTCATCAGAGTACATACAGCAGAGCTGCCTCAGTTGTATGAGGAGCCTTTCAGTTGTCAGATGGGATTCAGACAGAGAAAAGAAACCCTGGCCCTTTTTGGGAAGGTGAGGAGGGAGAGGAAATGCAATACTAACTTTATAGTGCATTAGTTGGAGGTGATAGTTTTGGACGACCTGTTTCTTTGGTACAGGCTCTTATCACTGTGTTGAGTGATGTAACAGTACAATTCAGTTGTCCAACTGCAAGTTGCTAGTGGCATTTAAGAAGCATCAGTGTGCTCAGAACATCTGTGTGGCAGATGCTGCACAAGAGCTGTGCTCTGAGCTTGCTGCTGGATACCACATGGAATATTAAAGGGCATTTTGGTTTGTGCCCTAGATGGTATTCTTATTAGATGCTCATATGTAGACACCAAGTAAATCAATCAGAAATTATTGTGAAGTGATCATACACTTTCTAATGCAAACGAAGCATTTTTGTGTTGTTCTTTCACTGACTTTGAGAAACCAACATGTAAAAATAGGCAACATTTTTCGATATAGGGAGAGTTACTTTGTCTTGCAGTGAGAGGTTAGTATACTGTCTTACAGATTAAATATTATATATTTTTACACTAAGCCTGCTGAATTCAAAGTCACTCTTAAATGTAACACTTTCATCTTAGACAAATTTTCCTCACCTATGTCTTCAGTTCTGAATCTGTTGCTTAATGTCCTCCTCATAATCATGGTTTGAAACATGTTTACAACAAAAAGATTAAAAATAAATGAAGACTTTATTGTGTTACTGTTAAATAACAACAAGGAAGTTACATGTACTTAGATAGGTCTTACTACAAAGCTTGAACTGAGTTGTCCACATGGAGCAATGGAACTCATTTATTGTGTCCTCTGAGATCTGAACTAAATTAGTAATTTCTGTTAAAATATAAAGTTTTTGATGAACAAATAGTTCTGTTGATAGCCTGCCACCTTCTCTTGGGACCTTTCCAATGTAGTCTTCCTGCAGCCACTGCCTTTCCTTTTAAAATAAACTTTTTAATCTGAGGCTCTAAATTTTCCTAGCTGCGGATTTTAAAAATGCCTTGTCTGCCTATACTAGGTTTTCTTGAAATATTGGTTTACTTCATGTTACCTGAAACATTCAGGGGATGTTAGTAGTCTATAACTGATACTTACCCTTTTCTCAGATGTGGCACATCTGGTATGGCATCTCTAAATAACTGGAACACCTGCTGCTTCAAAAGCAGTTTGAATAATTCACATAGGAGTGGCTATCCAGACAGGTCTTGTAAATGGGGAAAGGGGGAAATAAAATAGAATAACCTTCCTGTTCAAAATGAATGTGAGTTTGATTCTATGAAGTAAAAGATGGTTTGATTTGCCTGCCGCTCAAAAGCGAGGTAGCTATCTGGCTGTGTGGTACCAGTTCAAGGAATAGGTCTTTAGTCCTGTTTTGCATAGGGTTGCTGATGTGGGTTTCTGAAATGAAACAAGGTGTTAATCTAGTTGTATACATTATTTATAGTGCTGGTGGTAAAGTTATGTAAAGAATAAAATGTTGCTCTCTTTATTCTTCAAAAAAGTTTGGAAGTCTATGGTTGGAAGGGATTTGATGCCCTGTGGCACTTTTGTTCTAAGATGATGCCTCATTAGCTGGACCACTAAACTAATGACAAGGTATCAAAAGCTGTAATTTACAAGATTCTTGAAAAATGACAGACATTGATTCTAGGTATCATAGTTTCAAGGTAACTTTTTCCTCTATGAAATAAAACTTGTAACTGATGTAATTCTGCAGTCTTGAACAGGAATGCTGGCTCAAATGCAGAGGAGGGGAAAGAAAGGTTAATTGGGAAACTTTGCCACCATCACTTAGTCAGAACATTCCA